TCTACTTCACAATCAGCGCCAGCAAGAACCAGATCTATGCCACCAACCATAAACTCCAATCACCCAAGGTTCGCAATGAAGAATCAAGGCTAGTACACACCCTAGCCCTTGCAACGGTGACGACGGCAACCCAACACAAGCGGCAATTTAACAACCAAGCAAAGAGGGTTCGCGATGATGCAACCTCTGCAACTAGCGATAGTCAAGGCAGCCTCGGCCTACAAAACGAAGGGCTTCAGATTTGAGAACGACAGACAAGAAACTTCAAACCTCCAACAGCTTCAGACCTCCGGCTCGAACAGAACGACGGCCAAACCTGTCGCGAAGAACAGAATCAACTTCGATCTCGATTCTGATTTGTAGAAGAACACCACAGATGCAATCACAACCATAATTTTAGTTTTCCCATTGTTTCGTACCGCTCTGATACCATGTTGCGACTAGAGAGAGAGAGAGAGAGAGAGAACACAGTGGATACATAATGTGTATTTCATACATATCAAACCCTAAGCCTACTACAGTGGCTTATATAGAGTACAGGTCTCAGCTAATTACACAATGACCCTACCAACTATATGTAATTACATAATGACCCAAAATATTCTAACAGAAAACAAATTTGTGCAGAAAAAACATTGGAAGTACAAAATATTTGTATACAACACATTATACTTGTAACTTAGTAATAATAATTAATATGCTTATACAAACATTTTTTAAAATAAATACAACAAAAATGTTATAGAAAAATAAAATAAATCACAGAAATATTTAAAAAATAATTATTTCAAGAAAAATAAAAAATACATTATATCAACACAAAAAATAGCTCACAAGTTTGCAAATATGAATCGATTCTCCCTTTTGACGAAAAATCAGAGCTTACGAATCTATAATACTTTAATCGAAAATCTAAAACTAAATCTTATGTTTTTTGAGTTTTGAAACATGAATTTTAAAAATATAAGCAATGTTTGGAGGTTGAGAGAAAGGTTGGGAGAGGAAGAAATGGAGAAAAATTTGGCTTTCTAAACTTAGTAGCCAACTTGATCGTTATGGCTCTTTAACTATGATGGCAATATAACAGGGCACGATGGCTGTTATAAACAACTCAATTGAGTTAGGTTGAATCGCACATGAAATTAGGACTGCAACTTGGGTTGGCCCAACCCAGCCCAGTCCTAACCCAACCTCAACCCGAAGCGGGTTGGGTTAGGCCAACCCGAATTGTACTCAACATGGGTTATGGTCATAACCCGAACTGAATATTTTCGGGCGGGTTGGGTTGGGTTGACCGGTTGAGTTTTTTTTTTTTTTTTTTTTTTTTTTTTTTTTTTTTTTTAATTCAAAAATTTATATATATATATATATATATATATATATATATAATATATTATTTTTTATATATTTGATTATATTATTAAAAATGCTACCGACTTATTGAAATATTGTCTTGGGGTTTTATGCAATTGTCCGAAATTTGTATAAAATTATAATTTGCAAAAGACACTGGACATGTCACTTTTAGTAAATATTTTTCAATGATAAGATTCAAATTAATATGAATAACTCATTCAACATAGATTTATTAAAAACTATTTTTGAAAAAAAAAAAAAATCAATGGATTATATTTGTAAAAAAAATCTATTAGATGCGCCTAGAAGAAAATTTAAAATACCTTCAAATAACTTTTAAAATTTTCTTAAGTCCATATATTTTTAAAATTAAGAAGGAAAAGAAAATCTAAAATAAAACTGAATTTTATTAAATTAACATTAAGGATATTTTAATCATTATAACTTCACATCAATAGTGCGTAATTTTTATTTTTTATTTTTTAAAAAAATCTATCTTTGGAAATTAAAAAGAAAACATAAAAGGGAAATTATATTAAAAAAAAAAAAATTATTCTTAAATTTTTATTAAGGGGCTATTATTATTACTCGCTCATAAAAAAAAAAAAACTATTATTATAATAATAATTATTATTATTATTATTATTATTATTAGTAATCATAGCATATCAAACCATTCATCTTCACAATCACCCGTAAATATGCCTCCACCACCGCCGCCATCATTTCAGCCTCCCCTATCGCCTCCATCTCCATTCTCTCTGAACTTGCCCTCTCTCTCTCTCTCTCTCCAACTGCAAATTACAAAATCTACAAGAATCAGAAGTTCAAAACCCATATATTTCAGTTTTATCTATCTGTCTACAAGAATCAAAAGTTCAAAACCCATATCGGCATATCATTTCAGATTGTTCAAAAAATCAAAACCCATATCTTTCAGTTTCCATCGCCCGCTGTTCCAGTATGGAATTTGAATGGCATCAGCTGTGATATTCTCGTCTCTCCGGCGGAGGAGGTCGTCGTCTCTGGAGGCGTTCCTAGCACCGGTGTATCTTGCCGCTGTCTCTCAACTCTCAAGCGGCGGAGAGAGAAAGAGAAAGAAGAGAGAGAGAGAGAGAGAGAGAGAGAGGAGAAAAAAAAAAAAAAAAAATCTGGTTTCGGGTTGGGTTCAGGGTTCATGTGGTTTTGTCAAAACCCAGACATATTCGGGTTGGGTTCGGGTTGAGCCCGAACCCAACCCGAATATGTCTGGGTTTTGACAAAACCACATGAACCCGAGTTGTGAATTTAAAGCCCAATTTTCAAAATTTCGGGTTGGGCTGGGTTAGCCCGCCCAAGTTGCAGCCCTACATGAAATTGCATCTCACTTTGTGTGACCAAGGCCAAGTTCATTATGTCTTGGTGGAGTCCCAGTGGCTGATAAAGAGAAGGAGAGGAGAAATAAAAGACAAAAAGGTGAGAGAGAGCTTTAACCCTTGAGAAGGCTGACTACTACATTAATATTACTAAACTATTAAAAACTAAAATTACAAAATTAGCTGATGCAGACCATGAGAAGTTCAAAAAAGAGCAAATTCAAAGCAAAATGTTTGAAAAATGATTAAATTTCAAAGAATCCCACTTGGGACCTTGCATAATTTAGTTTAATTCATATCGAGTCTGCTGTTAAGCTTTTAAGTTAAATAGGATGTGGTTCAGTTTTAAATTTTATTTATGTTTCATCAATTTAAAATTTAATGATACTTTGGTAATTTCTAGTTTTATCATTGTACATCTATAGAGGAGCTTATAGATTTTTTGGGTTCCTTGGGTCCTTGGGATCCCACTTTGGCTTCGGCCTCTGTGTATTATTGGGATGTGTTCCCCTTTTGAACGCTTTCTATTTTATTCTTACTTACCAAAAAAGATTTGTTGGAGCTTCCTCCTCGTATCTTATGGACAGGATAGGATTTGGAGAGAGATGGAGGAAGTGGATTCAATTCTGTATTTCTAGTGCTCGCTTCTCTGTCCTTGTGAATGGAGCTCCGACCGAGTTTTTTGACAGTTCAAGGGGGTTGAGATAGGGGGACGTCCCCCCCCCCCCCCCCCCCCCTCTCTCTTTTGTTCCTTATTGTGATGGAGGCTCTAAGTAGAATGATGACAAGGGCAGTGGATTTGGGTTTTTTGAGAGGCTTCAAGGTCGGTAGGGAGGTTGCTTGTCAGCTGGAGATTTCATATTTGATGTTTGCGGATGACACATTGGTTTTTTGTGATGCAGTCGTGTCTCAGATAAGATACTTGAGAAGAATTTTGGTTTGGTTTCAAGTTGTCTCTGGCTTGAAGGTGAACGTAGCAAAGAGTGTCCTGGTTCCAGTAGAGGAGGTTCCAGAGTTATCCACCTTAGCTCATATTTTGGGATGCAGTATTGGCTATCTTCCCATGTCTTATTTGGGGTTGCCTCTTGGGGCTCCTTCTAGAAGAGTAGAAAGTTGGGACCGTGGTTGAGAGATATGAGAAGAGGTTAGCCGGTTGGAAAAAGCAGTATCTTTCTAAAGGCGAGAGGGTAACTATAATGAAAAGCACTTTGTCGTGCCTCCCTACTTATTTTCTTTCTATTTTCCAAATTCCCTCTTCTGTGGCAGAACAGATTGAAAGGTTGTAGCAGAATTTCCTTTTGGGCGGCAAGGTTTATACTCCGATCCGAAACGGAGGTTTGGGAATCAGAAGACTGATGCCTTTCAATAAGGCTTTGTTGGGAAGTGGCCTTGGAGATTTGGGGTGGAAAGGCATAGACTTTGGAGAAGGGTGATTGCAAGCAGATTTGGGGAGGCGAGAGGAGGATGGTGCTCTTCTGAGGCGAGAGTCCCTAGCGGAGTTGGGGTTTGGAAACTCAACCGTAAAGGGTGGTATGAATTCTCCAAACATATCAGATTTCGAGTTAGGGATGGCATTTGTATCCGTTTCTGGGAGGACACTTTGTGCGGCGATCGACCCCTTGCCCTCATCTTTCCTAGACTTTTCCGAATTGCTACAGATAGACATGCCATGGTGGTCGACTGTTATCGTCTCGATAGTGAAAGTACAGTTTGGGATGTTCGTTTCTTGGGGTATTGCTGGATTTTGCCGTTCAGCTTGTTTGGGGTTCAGTAGGTTATGCCCAAATCTTCCAGAGGCTTGATTGAGGCTTGGAGAGGGTGTATAGTGGAGGCCCATGCTCTTGATTTCTGGAGGGTCACTCCGTTATGTGTCCGGTGGTGTTTATGGCTTGATTTGGAATAGGAGATCCTTCGAAAGAAAGGAGAATCCTATTGGGATGTTGAAATTCTCCATTATTAGTACACTTTTTGTTGGGTTCTAGGGAGAAATTGTAAATCCTTGGAGGAACTTGTAGATCTTTTGGAGTCTTTGAGGATTTAGAGGCCCTATTTGGCCTAGTGTAGCTTTTGCGGGATGCGTTCCTCTTTCGAACGCTTTTTATATAATCTTAACTTATAAAAAAAAAAAAATATATATATATATATATATATATATATATAAGAAACATATTAAAAACTTGGAAACAATTTCATATATGTCAACCAAACATGTTGCAAGAAGAAGGTCTAATCATGTGTTCTAATATGTGACCAAAATCAAGATATAAAAAGAATTCGCACGGGAAACACCTGACCAAGATGAGGCATGGTTTGGATATACAGATTGTAAGTAACTCCCGCAAGTTTTATTATCTGTGAAAGTTGCATTGGTGGTGGATCTCTTGGAGCAAATGCAACCTGCATATGGACATCAACTGTTTCAGAAAAGAATTCCACATTTTTTAAATAATCTAGAAGGATGTACAGAAGCACACTAGACATCAAAATTCACATATAGATACGATGTTGCCAATAATCATCCTCTTGAATTGAAAATGAAAATTCAATGAGATGAAGGCAAGTACTGGAATTGTTGGTGTTTTTAAAAAAAAAAAAAAAAAAACAAAACAATAGCTTGAAGAGAGAAATTAAGCAAGAAGAACACAAGAATATAACATGGTTCGGCCACTAAGGCCTGCATCAAAGGCACACAAAGCCCAAAGGGCAATATCTCTTTCATTACATTCTCTCTTAATTTTGTTTACAATGACCACTTCTATTTATAGGTTAAAGAATACAAACATCTGCTAAATATAAGAATTATATTGATGGAGGATTCCTAAAATCACTCCCATGAATCACTCTTATCAATATTCTGTCAAGGGCTTAAATAACTCCTGTAATGATATTCTGTAACAGTTGGAAATTAGTATAATAAGCATTTTTTTTATTATTATTAGTATAATAAGCATGTGTTGGGGCCATATTGTAAATATCTTCACATTATAGCAGATAAATAATGAAAGCAGGCACTAGTGAATGAGCCTCTCTTTTTCTTGTTTTTGTGTGTTCTTCTTCTCCTACCATTTGTTGCTTTCTTCTTCACAATCATAACACGGTATCAGAGCATCAATGCTAGAGACAATGTCAGATATTATAGGCACACCTATTGCATAACTTTTTCATCCCACTTTTAAAGCATGTGTATGCTGTTTTAAGCTCAAGACTATAAGATTGTATCTCCAGCTCCATCCCTTTTCACAGCTATATATATATATTTTTTAATAAGTAAAGTACATTAGAAAAGCGTTCAAATGGTGACAGCACGACATACAACTTCAAGAATACAAAAACTCAACTATTAACTATATCCTCCAAGGATTTACAATGGTGGCCTTTAACCCAAAAATAATAATGTACCCAATATGGAATATTTAGGTGCTCAAATAGGAGCTTCCTCCCCTTCAAAAGAGCTCATATTTCTTTCCCTCCACAACCCCCACCATAAACAAAGGGGAGTAACTCTCTAAGATTGTCAAGAGTCAAAATCCTAACCAAGGCCTCCGTCCAACCAAAAAAGGCCATCTTGAGAGGAGCTTTGGTGCGCCAAACTACCTTCCAAGGGAAAGGATCACCCGCGGCACCACACGCCTCCGGTAGTAAGATCTAACTTCAAAGCCCCCATAAGAAGTTCAGATCCATATCCATTCATCATCCCCCTCACCCTCCACCCATTGGCCATACAACAAAGCCACAAGCTCCACAACCTCCTCCATCTCCCAATCTTGCACATGCTCCAACTGAATGTCCCAAGTCAAGTTCCCATTATCAATGTGAAAACAAAAAGCTATAAAGGTCTGCTTGTTCACTGCTAAACGGTAGAGTCTTGGGAAAGTGCAAGTTAATGGTCAATCCCCGCACCAAATGTCCTCCAAAAAGAGGATAGACCTCCCACTCCTCACCTTAAATCCAATGTGCTTAGAAAACTCATTCCAACCCTTGCGAATGAGTTTCCAAACCCCAACTCCGGTAGGGGTCTCACCTCCTTCAAGCTCCAACCGTCCCTCTCCTCTCCCACCTTGAATTTTTTTTTTTTTTTTTAACAAGATTGAATTAAAAAAGCATTCAAAGCCCTTTGAATGCATCCCTTAAAAGCTACACAAGTCTAAATAGGGCCTCTAAACTCTCAGTGTCTCCAAAAAAAATCAACTATCTCACAATGGATTTACGATTTCTCCCTAGAACACAACAAAAAAGAGTGCTAATAATGGAGAACTTGAGCGCACCAATAGGGTTCTCCTTTCCTTCAAAGATCTCTTATTACTTTCAAGCCATAAACACCACCAAACGCACAAAGTCGTAACCTTCCAAAAATCACAGACATGGCCCCCGCTATACACCCTTTCCTAGCCTGGACCAAGTCTCTCAAGGACCTGGGCATAACCCATTGAATTCCAAACAAACCCAACAACATGACCCAACACTCCCAAGGGCAATGCAAAAGAAGATGATCCACCTTTTACTTGTCTCTCTTACACATGTAGAACCACCACCTGTCTCCTCCTCTTTAGGTTATCCTGAGTCGAGATCTTCCCCAACACAGATGTCCAAGCAAAGAAAACCACCTTAAGGGGGCCTTTAAAACGCCAAATAGCCTTCCAAGGGAAAGAATCTCCATGAACATCCAAATGACACGTATAGAAGAATTGAACATCAAAACGTCCTGGGAAGACGGAACCCATACCCATGAGTCAGAAACTCCATGCACAATGTCATGGCAGTACAGCGTCTCCAACATGCTAATGACGTCCTCAATCTCCCAATCATGAAAATGCATCAAAAAGCACTCATCCGAGGTCCTGCTATCAAGCCTATTGCAGTCAACCGCCAAGGCATTCTATCCGTGACAATCCGGGACATGTAAGAGCAAGAGATCGATCGCCACACCATATATCCTAGTCCCCCTACCATCCCTAACTCGAAATCTGATCTGTTTGGAAAATTCATCCCACCCCTTCGGAATGAATCCCACCTTCAAAGAGAACCATCCACCTCTCAACTCCCCAAATCTGCTTGCAATCACCCTCTTCCAAAGTCTATGCCTGATGTAGCTGTGGACCCAGCAGAAAGTTTCCTAAAGCATAGGGAACATCCAGAAAAGGAAAGAAGTGGAGGGAAGACAAGGAGAACCAGGAATTTATAGAAAGTTTTGATTTGTTTCTAATTTTTTCAGCAACTTTCTCAGCTTTCTTTTATTTTAAGCAACTTACCTATTTTGATTTTGACTTATATATGGTAATTAGCTACTCTAAGGTTTATATAAAGCTTTGTAATTTCTAGGGTTGGATCAGTTTTTGAGTTGCAGAGAATTATTTTTGCGGCAAAATTTTTTTGCCTTCAATTCTCCTTTCTCTTGCTCTCTATTCTTTATTTCGTTTCAATATTGCTGTGAAGACGATTTAATCGTATCCTCTTAGTAAGGCGGCATCAATTTGGTAACAGAACTTTGGTTCGGCTTTTCAACTGCCCAGTCATGCCTCCACGACTACAAACGAGAGGAGGAAATTGTAGGATGCAAGGTCCGGCTGAAAGCTTACCCCAACAACAGCAAGACAAGATGGAATTTTTGCGGAGACAAGTTGAGGTGTTGACTCAACACTAGGGTCAGCGTGTTATGAACCCACTGGTTAACAACGACCTGCCTGTTGATGACAATATTCCGATGGATGACATTATGTCAAGCACTGGGACTGTCGCGGAAAATCCTTTATATATTCCGCGTCGCCATAGATCTCCCCACGAGCGGATTGACCGCCGTTGGCAGTCGCATATCAAAATCGATAAAGAAGACAGTATATTGTATTTAATAAATATGAATATATAACAATACCACTACACAGTCATCTTCCATAAAATGAACTATTATTTGATCAAAGGATATTGATTGAGAGGAACGCTCTGTTTGTTCTCATTTATTAATATGATGACACAATTTACGTTTTAAAGAGTTCGATAAAAAAAATTTCTTTTTTACTTATCAATTTTTTTTACAAGATTCCAAAAAGCACAATGTTTCAGGAAATTTATATATGTAGACAGAATAACATTGAATAGAGTTTAGAGTTATGCGGTGAACCGAACTACCTTTTGTAACTTCTCTCAAAATGCAAAGTGAATATGGAATTCATCAAGAAAATGTGAGTAAACAAAGGGAAAAAATTAATCAGATGCATTCATATAAAAATTGGATAACATAAGCATCAAAATAAGACAACATTTTATAAAACTTCATAGCAAATTTATTGTGAAGAATATTATGAGATAGTGTAACCACCTAAAGTTTTTGTCCAAACCTAGGATTCTCTAGAAATTAGAGTAGAATCTAGCATCTGCTTGAGCAAAGTCACACAAACTTAGGTTACTACTGTTTACACCAAAATCTGGATTTTTTCAGATTTGGCCACATGGAAAGGGCTGCAAGAAAAAATCCAGGTTAAAAAGCATAAGTTTAGGTGAAGGGCCGATTTGTGGTACAAGAGGTCAAAACAGTTGATGAGCCCGTTAGAGGTCGAAAGCGATTCTGGAGCGATCGAAAGCGATTCTGGAGCAGTTGAAAGAAGCTACGGAATCGAAGGAACAATTTAATTGGATAAAACATGTGCTAAAGACTCGTATGAAGTTTGAAGATTGAATTGACATGTAACTAGACCCGCGGCAAAAGGTGCTGAATACTGGGAAGGCTGTTATTCTAATAACTGTCAGCAGTTAGGAGTAACTGCTCTTAAGCACATTAAACCATTATTATAAATAGACACAGAGAGACTTATCAAAAAAAATTAAAAGACACAGAGAGCACTGATACAAAGCTCCTGGACCAAAAACACAATATTTTCATTATGTTACGTAGCCTTAATTTTTCAGCACTTTTATTGTTTTTCCTTAGGAGTAGTTCTAGTTCAGCCTTATATTAGTTTCAACCCCATCTTTTACAACTTGTTCTCAAGTTAATATTTGTACAGAATATTCAAAAGTGAAAAAGATGTGGATTACCTCTTGTTATAACTTCTAGGACATGTCTCTCATTCATTATATTCTTAACTTGGTATCAATAATCCTCTTAATTGAGGCGTCAAAACTTGAAGGAAGGGGTTTTTCCTGGCTTCCAACAATCACATGATCTCAAGAGACCAATCCGTTGATCGAGTCGCTTCAGGAATGGTTTGTCTATTCTACATTTGGGTCAATAAAGACCCTGGCACGCCCAAATTAATAATTGAGCTAAACAGTTACAAACTTCAAATTTGGCTAAAATAAGCCATTCAAGCTTAAGTCATTTAATCGCATAGTTATTAAATATAGCATAGATATCCCAAAACCCATCATTCCGCTAAAGAGATATATCATAGTTAATAGATACATCACATAATTAGAGATGTTCATTGAATTCACTTCAAGAATTTTATCTAAGCAGTTGCATAGAAGAAATTTCCAAACACATACGAGATTGCAATTCAAATTTAGCAACTAAAGAAAACTATATGAATAATGAGTAATTTGCATTATAAACTAGAGCACACCTTTCATTATCTCAGCCCACTCGTCCTTGAACAAAAAACCAGACGATCTCAAAACCCGCCTGCATGACTTCAAAACCGCTTCCTTGGATTTCAATCCCAACTTCTCCAACTCTGTGGTACCCATCAACTGCACTTTAGTGTTCTTCCACTCCGACCTTGGAACCCGTTTCTTCGCAAACTCAATCAACTCCAAAATCGACCTCCCTGCCCCATCCGGGTCACCGGCGAACCCCTGCAACCCCGGCCGGACCTTCAATGAACTCGAACCAGCACCGTCCAGGCCGATAAAAGGAGTCATCCCTTCATTCAAGAACTCAAATACGTGGATTCGGGACATTGTAGAACTTGCGTCGATTATGATTCCGAAGAGTTTGGATTTGGATTCGCCGAATTTGGGTGACCGGTGGACTCCGCGAGCGATGGTGAAGAGGTAGAAGAAGAATGGGACGACGAAGAGAGAGGCGGCGAGGATCAACCATTTGTCTCGGTTCGATTGGAAAGAAGAGGGTTTGGGAGGAGAGAGGGAGTGCATGCGAGGGTGGAGTTGAGTACGGTGAAGCGGAATGTAGGACGACGAAACCCTAGATTGGATGTTCGACAAGTCCATGACGATTGTGAAAGGAGAGAAACAACACTACTGATGGAGCGTTCATGTTTTACAGATAGATGAAATGGTCTCGTAGTGCTCCATTTGTGTTACTAAAGTTGTATATCAAGGAGTGTGTGCAATGGTTTGTAATTTCTTAGTAATATAATCTGAACAGTTTGAAAATATATACTATGTATATATAATCTGAACGGAAAATAAGGTAAATTTGACTTATTATTTATCTTCTTTCGTGTGTTATAGCTGCATCCAAACGATCAGAATGAATTCCAGTGGCAAAGTGCTGTAATATGTTTTGATGCTTTTTTATTATTATTATTTGTTGAAATGTTGCAATTTTTTTTTTTTTTTTTTTTTTTTAACGTGGCAAACAAATACAGCAACAAGATCAACACAAACAATCTTTTGCTGCCAAATCCACAATATCGGCAGAAATATTAACAAGTGCAATATCATTCTCAATATGGTGCCAAGAAAGCTGGACAAGAGCATGAGTGACTCCATTGCCATAACGACGAACATGACTAAGACGCGAAAAGAAGAAACGCCCAAACAGCACTTGCACATCAAAAGAAATAGCTTGAATTTCAACCGGCCCACAGTCCACACCATTCACCGCCTGAACCACCAGCAACGAATCACATTCAAACCAAACCTGATCAAAAGACTGGGTTAAAGCCCACAAAACCGCTTTGCGAATAGAAAAAGCTTATGTCTGGGAAGCACTATGCACCGAGAAAGGAGAAAAAACCATCGTCTACAAAATCTAACCCAGGGAATTCCTAAAAACAGCACCCCCACCACCAACCTTATTCAACATGCAAAATGATGCATCCACATTACATTTAATAATACCCATAAGAGGGGGCGACCAGTGGGAAGCGGATAGATTAGCATGAAAAACAGAAGTTGCACCTATCTGAGTGGGAACCAAACTGTGGATAGATGAATAAAATGAATCCTTAAATTCCCAAAACTAAGATGAAGCCCAATTAACAATCTGCAAAGGGGTATAAAGTTCCCCCTCGAAAACAAACATGTTTCTCGCCTTCCAAATACCCCAGCAACAAAATGCCACCAAACCTAGCATATCCTGGCCCTCTATCCCATTCCCCGATTAGGTCATCAAAGACATCCACCAATCCTTAAAAGATATTGAAGGAGTAAACATAAAATCAAACCTCAACGGCGATAATTTCCATATCTGGATAGAATGAGGGGACTGAAACATCAAATGCTCAATGAATTCCTCCACAATACCACACCTAGGACACACTGGCTCCACATCCATACCATGCACCTGAAGCAACCAACGAACAGGAAGAGCAAGGTTACAACATTTCCACAGAAAATGCTGAATTTTGGGAGGAACTTTACATTTCCACAAACGACACCAACCAGTATTATTTTAAGGATCAATATTAGATATTTCCAGGGATTGGGATTCGTTAGTCTGTGCCATGTTGTTAGCCAAACGATAGGCAGACTTCACAGAAAACCTACCATTAGCCTTACCATCCCATCCCAACTTGTCTTCCTTAAAGCAAAAACTGAAACTACAACCAAGAATAGTGGCAACAATGGAAGGCTAGAATAAAGAATTAAGTGTAATACCCCTAATTTTAAAAGGATAGTCTCGGCATTTTTAATATTTATTGTATTGCATTTTTATTTATTTTATTGTTTTATTGTATTTTTTTTATTATTATTTTTCATTTGTTTAGTTGTTATTTGAAATTTGAATTAAATTTGTTTTATGTGCATTATTTGGTTTATTTAAATTATTAATTGTTGCGTCTATTTTCGTAAATTATTAATTGTATTATTTGTAACTCATTGTTTTAAACTTAGGTAATTAACTTACTATAATTCTTGTAATGTTAAAATTAAGTTACGTGAGTTTTTAAATACATTAATTGACTCACAGTTTCTTTTGGACATCACCTAGTGTAGCCGACATATAATTTAATCGTAGGTTTTGTTACATGGGCCGACTAGGATTAAGATTTGGGCCCTGTCTCTAAAATTACAAGGATTAGGGTTTTAGAGTTAAACCTATAAATACAACCATTATGCTTTAGCCTAGGGTTTACAATCATAATTCATGTTACATAAACGTGAAGTTAGTTCATAACACAGAGGGTTTTGAACGGAGGCACTGTAAGAATTGTCAAGGAGAAGAACAGTGAGTACCAAGGGAGGATTTTGGTGGATTAGACTAGAACCAGAGGAGGTTAGAAGGTAGTCAGTGGTTGCCGGAAGTTAGGAAGATGGCGACAAAGTTTTGAGTCCAAAACTACAGGCAAGTTCTTATCTTCCTCTTTTCCTTTGGCTCGTGTTCTGTGCACCTAGATAGTCTCTAGGGATTAACTAATTAGTAATTAAAACTTATGTGTTTAATGTATGCTTGTTGATGATTTGTTTGCATTGAATTCAAATCTGTTTACAGGTCGTGTATTGTTGCTTCCAGTTCTGTTCATTAAAGCATATTAAAATCTGTTGAGATTTTAGTTACGATTCTTGCTTTTATCTTCTGTAAATGAACCCTGGGGATGTTAATGGGATGATATAAGACTCCTAAGATCAGTTTGTGAAGAGGAACAGGGAGGTTAGAATAGAATTATAGTTTCAGTTTTGTTCCTAACGCGGGTTAGTTCGGTAGCAAATTTAATCTATGTAATTGATTTTAATTGTTGTTTTCAAGCCATTGGGATGCTACTGGGTATTAATATGACACCTAAGATTAGTTTTAAAAACTAACAGAGTAATAGGAATAAGCCGGAGAAGGAGCACAAAAGCTGAAACGAAGCACCGGGGACTGAAGGCTTTCAAATGAGGTGAGAGCCGGCTCCATAGAAGTGGAAGCCGGCTCCCACAACAAGTAGAGCCGGCTCTAAGGAATCCTAGAGCCGGCTCTAGGCTGAAAGAGCCTGCTCCCAAAATTTGGAGCAGGCTCCCTTTTCATTTTACGTTTTGTTTTATTATTTTTTTTTGTTTTCTACGTATTGTGTTTTATTATTGGAGCATGGGATTTAATCTGTTGGTTCTGGGGTTCCACAGAGAGATTAGAAGGCTGAATTTGGGTGTTATTAGGACCTTAAATTGATTAAGGTTTAATTCTAAATTGTCGGGACAAACAGTGTAAAAATTAAGGCACTTCCTATGTTGTTAACAAATGGAAGATAAATTAATTGTTGAATTAAATTTCAGCAATTTGATAAAATATAATGTGTTTATAAAACTTGTTTTAGAATGCATTCAAATGCATGATAAGGTCATTTAATTATTAATTTTGATCTATGCATGCTTAGGAGGCTAGTTGCTGAATTATTAAATCGTTTCCTGCAACTATATGGTTAATGCTTGGATTTAAATTGCTGAAACATTAAACAATCTTCTGAAATTGTTTTAGCAATTTATTGGATAATAATATGATTATTTAACCTATTCACATGCATGATGGAGTCCTTGACATATTAAATTTGGTTTATGCATGCTCTGGATGTTAGTTATTGATTTATTAAATCGTCTCCTGCAATTATATGGTTAAATGCTTGGATTTAAATTGCTGAAACTTTAAATATTTTTCTGCAATTATTTGGATGGTGGTTTTTGGTCTGTAAATTATTGAACTGTTATATATGTTGTAATTTATATGGATATGGAGGATTGTATGTACCGGTATGGGACGGTGACATACTAGGGACGGTTTAGCTCAAAACGCATAAACCTAACCTAATGGATTAATGGAATGGATTGAAAGATATCGAATCCTAATTGTGACTAAGTCAGATCAGCTGTAACCAGGTTGGATGACTTCCTGGATTAACGGATGGTAGATAAGTCATATCAACTGAATAAGTTGAGTGACTAACTAGTTGGTTTATTATATGTCAGTTTAATAAATAGTTAAACTACATACCCTGGATTTGGACGGACTTTATATATATGTTTATGGTACCACGAGTTGAGCTTGAGTCTCAAACTCGTTGGTTAGGGTGCGTATATGCAGTGGATGCGTAGCTGGTTATAATAGGTTGAGGTGTACCTTGTTAGGTCTAGGTACTCATGCCCACCTTTGGGTGCGTATTCGCATGTTGCATTCTATTCAGGTTGAGACCCCTATTATAGACTAGTGAATGTCCCTTAGTGTGGATATATTTATACGTATGGACTAGATAGATATTGTGAGGTGTCTACGGTGTATCTGCGTATCGGGTCACTGTATGGATTGCAGTTAGATTAGAACTTGCTCGTGGGTCTGACCCACTCCTTCATTATTCTTTTCAGGTATAGGACGGTTCCAGCCTTAGAGCTTGATCGTGCTTGTCGAGGACAGTCTCACCTTCATCTGATTACGTAGGAATTCTCTCGATGTTTCTAACATTATCTACTTTCAGTTTTCAGTTTCAGTTGAACTTTTGGTTAGGGGTCCATCAGTGGAATCCCAAGTTGTAACCTTGAAGTTTTGGAGGATTGGAGTTTCAATTTTCAGTTACACATGGAGGGTTTTATTATTATTATTTCTTTCAGCTTTATTCTATCTTTATTGTTTCTTTTTGTCATCTATGTTCGTTTTAAAATACTTTAATTGTTTGATATTCTCTCGGGTTTGGGCTTGGGCCTGATCAACCCGTGTCTCGGATCCGAGGGGTATCACATTAAGCAATTCCACATTCCAACCAGACTGTGTAGAATTAAAAAAGCTCATGTACCAAGTTTGGAGTCACCATAAAAGATGGCTGTAAAAGCCTACTAGACAAACCAGGAACCCATCGATGCTTCCAAATATTAATAGATTGGCCGTTCCCCACAACCCATCTAGATCCAGCACCCAGGAGATGTTGTGTAGACCAAATACTTCTCCAAGCCTAAGAAGGATTAGATCCCAATAGCGCTTCCAAAAAGGAACAAGTACGAAAATATTTAGCTTTAAAAATTTTAAAAGTTAACCCCTGTTGATTAACTTGAAAGTTCCAACCCTGTTTAGCCAACAATGTAGCATTATATGCCTTAAAATTTCGAAAGCCTAACCCCCTTCCTCCTTCGCATTACATAATATATCCCATGTAACCCAACTAATATTTGCAGACCCACCATCTTTACCCCACCAAAAACCACGAATAAGCTTCGTACTTAAATGACAAAGAT